CTCGGGTCGTGGTCTCAGGGTCCTGGGATCGAGCCCCGCATCGGGCTCTCTGCTCGGCGGGGAGCCTGCTTCCTCCTCTCTCTCTGCCTGCCTCTCTGACTGCTTGCGATCTCTCTCTGTCAAATAAAAAAAAAAAAAAAAAAAAAAAAAAAATCTTTAAAAAAAAAAAAAAAAACCGTCACTTCATGAACAAACCGTGCCCCTGCTGGTCCCCATAAAGAAGGTAATTTTAAAAATGTGACAAGTGGGGGCGCCTGGGTGGCTCAGTGGGTTAAAGCCTCTGCCTTCGGCTCAGGTCATGATCTCAGGGTCCTGGGGTCGAGCCCCACCTCGGGCTCTCTGCTCAGCGGGGAGCCTGCTTCCCTTCCTCTCTCTCTGCTTGCCTCTCTGCCTACTTGTAATCTCTGTCACATAAATAAATAAAATCTTAAAAAAAAAAATGTGACAAGTGTAACAAGGCATCCACAAGAATAGACTAGAAGTAAGGTAAATGTCAAGAAACCCGAAGTAAGGTAAGTGTCAAGAAACCCAAATTAGAGGTGGAGTTTAAAAAAAAAAATTATGGTTTATTCTGGGATTAATAACAGTATTTTACTTTTGGAACTTTCCAAGAGTTAAGATGGCATTTTGTAGAACACTTGCATGCTTGACAAACCTGTACGTCCCACTTAGGGAAACTGAGTCTACTTTAGAAGAGACGGGATTGACCCACAGAAAGCTTCCTAAAAATGTTTTTTTTTTTTTTTTTTGCCGCACGATAGAGGCAGCCATCACTTAAAAACCTGTCTGGGGGATTTTGCCAAGGAAGGAGCGGTGGGATGGCCTTGGCCCTTGGAGTTGCAGTTTTTCATTTATCAGTTAGGACTAAGTTCATGCCATTTCTGGCTTCTACTGGGCCTAAAATGGTTGTGGAAATGTTTCTCTTTGAGCCCAACTTTACTTTGCAAAATGCAGTTTTAAAAGACCAAGGAAGAAACCACAGATTAAACCAAGGGCTGGAATGAATCCTCATTTACCATTTCCTGGAGAAGCAAAATATTAATTGTATTTCATATGTGAACGAGTACCTGGGATCATTCTTCCCTCCCAATGTAGTGAGTTGGTCTCCAAAATAAAACAAAGATAAAGCAAAAATCAAAGCAGTGTGGTTATTTTATTAAAACAAACACTTGGAATACCAGTTATATTCTAATATATATAGTTCATTTTAAGTAGGAATACTTCTTTGGTAAAGCTATCAGTGCTATATGCAGGCTGAGAAGAGAATATCCACAACAGATGGGAGTGGGTAGACCTGTCATCTGGCCTTTGTCTTCGTCGACACTAACATTCAGTAAGGTGCCATTCAAGAAACACGGTTTTGGTCATATTCTTGTAACCGCCACTAAGACATGATGTAATGTAGAATCTCCAAGTGCCTTTATGACGGAATTGTGAATCTATATGCATAACCTAGGGTTGGAAAGAACAGGTCACACTTATCTACTCAATGGAGAGGAGACCCTGCTGATCCCTCCACCAACCCTGCAATCCAGTTGTATTGACCTGATGGGAGACCGCGGTGGGGGTGGGGAGGGAGGGAGGGAGGCTTGTTCTCTGTGTTGGGCATGGGGATGTAGGGATGGTTGGAGGGGGCAGTGAATGGTGTGTGGCAGTGAATCTGGATAATGACTTTAAGCCCTCCCTTCCACGCATCCTGCTCTTCATTATTTTGAGTCCAGACAGATTAAGAAAACTGCTCACAACTCCTGTAGCAAAAGTAAATTCTGAGCCACAGCAGGCTTTTTGATGACATTGACCATTGCACATGCTTCCATTTTTCATGTCAGTTTTCACCCCATAGCTTGGCATACAGTTACAGAATTATAGTAGCCTCCCTGGATTCATAAACCCTCTTTCTTAATAGATCCAAGCATTAATAAATGTTGCCCGTTACTTAATTGTATCTAAATTTCAGATGCTATCCCACTCTTTACAGGTAAATAGACAGACACAAAGACAAAGAGAAATAATTTGCCCATGGTCAGTCAGGAGTAAAACTTAAGTCTCTTAGCTTCTAATTTAATGGTATATATGCTAAATTACACTGCTTCTCCAGCCCTCTGGGAACATAATCCTGGAACCCTGTGTAAGCAAAATGGGCCAAAAATTACATTCTCACCAGAGAAATTAATTGGATAATTTATCAAGTGTGAAAATAACATTAGAATATTCTGCACAACTGATCAAGAACTTTCAAATAAATCCATTATGAAAAGCATCCCTTCAGGCAAAATAAATAAGATTAAAATTCAGCATAACAGATTTACAAGCTGAAAACTAGCTGAAAGTGAAGACCACAATTCTAGCTACAACTCAAATACCACAAGTTTCCCCAAAGAGTTTAAGACTTGACTGAAGCTAATTATCTTAGCAAAGTTTTTAAAGAGAAACCAAACTTGAAGAAGTGTCATTAAAATTCACATGTATGAAGCAATAAAGCTAATGTCACAAAATGTTACTTGTAGGTTCTAGGTGGTGGCTGTTCGCTACAAAATTCATCCAACCTCTTTGCATGTTTGAAAAATTTCATAAAGAAAGCGCTGGGGAGAAAAGCAACAAAACAGAACAAAACAACCAAACCCATCTACACCGATCCATCCGAAACTTACATGACAAATAAACTACCAATTCAATTAAAACCAATTTAAATTCAATTAAAACCAATTTAACCAGTTTTTTCATTAACAGTTCATTACTAAACATGTGTGTATCTTGGACCCGGCACCGTGTTAAAACCATGAACAGAACACTGGCCCTGCCCCCCAATTTTCATTCTCCTTCGGACGGGAGTGAAACTGTCATTCTGTGCCTCTAAGACTGGCAGCACTTCTTTCTCGAAATACCGGAATCCATGTGCTCTTCTTCCCATTGGCCCTTTAGCTCTTACCCTGAAATCTACATGCAAGGACTCGGATAAACGCCATCAGCTGGCAGAGGCAAGGCAGCTCTAACAGGAGAAGGCTCTTCCTTTCAGAAACCAAAGCTGGGAAGGGGGAATTGCCATGGTTCTCTGGTGCCTTTCCAGCGGGGGCATTCAGAGCTGCAAGCCTTGAGGGAGCAGAAGAGTCAGCCTCTCCTTCCCTCTTGTCCTAACACGGGGCTAGCGTCCAGCCGAGAGCACTCTGAGGAGGAAAGAAAAGAGCACATCTCCTCACTCTACAACATGCCTGCCCCATCTTGAATGATTTTTCAGTATTTCATAACTTTATAACAACAATTTTGGGGGAGGAAAAAGCTTTAAAACATTAAAGGTTTAGGTGACATTTAGAGAAACAAATAGGCCTCTCTTTGCCAAGCGTGTGACTGAAAGTGAAGGCTGTAATTGAACATCACAATCTGTAGAGAGCTATCTAATTAACGATTTCATCAAATCAACTTCTGGAGACTGGGAATTTGGAAGTGTCAACTCCGTTCTATAGAACGCAATGGCAGCAACTGTGAAACTTACTGTAGCTTATCATGTGAATCTGGAAAATTTAGGGAAAAAATCTATTTCAAAAGAAAAGTACAAGTGACTATTGCCTATTTTTCATTTCTTTAAGGCACTGCAGTCCTTAGGTTCTGTTGGAACTAGGCACCACAAAAGAGACCTAATGGTATTTTATATAAATGATGAGCGAAATTCCTAATTAAATTGAGGCAAGCCAAGAAGAGAGCTGGAGTAACTGAAGTACAGTGCTTTCAAGGCTTAAGTTAGAAAAACCTCTCTCCTAATTGAAAATGTTTTCCGGTCACCAGAGATCAGAGGGTTCCCTGGATAAAGGAATGACAAGCAACTGCTCCTCTTACAGGAGAATATATTCTAATTTCATGCATAATTCCTAATTCCTAATTCATGCTTAGTTTATCTAAGACTTTACAGTTTATCTTAGTTTATCTAAGACTTCTGTACTTTTCTGTACAGAAACAGTAATAGAGACCTTAATTTTACACCTGTCACAAAACCGTCAGATATCATCCAACATCTCTGTATTAGCCCATCATTAGAGGTAAAAACTCGCCTTTTATTCCATTTCCCTTGACTGGCCCCCACAGTAAAAGCTGAATCATCCGTACGATAGCTGGAAGCTTCACCGCTGTCCTGGCCAAAGGACAGTAAAAACTCCCGAACTACTAATCAACATCCTGACTTGTTTTCCCACAGCCAAATACATGACTTGCGGCCAGTTCCCTCCAACACTGGGTTAGACCTCTCTGGGAAAAGAGGAAACGATTTCGCTATGTCCGGGAATGATGTCAGAAGATCAACATGTTCAAAGGTTAATGAAATAAAAACGCACGGTGCGAACACTTGAAAGCTGGTTGAGGGAAGCCGGCATGTTTGAGGCGGGCAGACTGAAAAAATCTAAGAGACCGGCTTTTCCATCTCAGGCTTGATTCTGAGGTGGTCTTAACAAAAATTTCTATTTGGAATGACAGTTTGAACATTACTTCCATTTTATATTCCCAGTGAATGACCAGTATATAAAGTGCCTGGTTTCTTACAAAACGCCACATGTTTGGGGGTGAAAAAAACCTGCTGATTTGAATGGAGACCCAGCTGATGGGATACTACATTTGAAGTAAAGTATTATGTCAGCAAAAAATAAGGTAGAGCAATTTCCTACTGGCAAAATCCTTTAATAAGTATTGTCAACGCTCTGCTGGTTAGGACTTAATTTCTTAAAACAGAATTTTATGGCTGGAGCGGACCTTAGAAACATATCTACAGCAACTTATTCTACAAGATGAGAAACTTGAAGCTAGAAGTTGAAATTAGGCAAAAAACTGTTTTTGTTTGGATTAAAGATAGTAGGAGAAAAAAAAAAAAAAAACAACTAACCAAAGCAGGAAATGACTGGCTTCAGTACCTAATGCACAGCCCTGCTTTTAATAGAAATTTGACCAGGAAGTTTTTAAATAGTATTTCCTTTTTTGGTGGGGTTGAATGATTTGTGGCAACATTTTTTTTTCCCTCTGATAAAAATATAGGTTTATTGTAGAAAATATAAAACATACTAAGAAAGCACAAAGATTATAAGTTATCAAAAACAGTTCAGCGTATCTCCTTCAGACTTCTTCTATGCAACAAAAAAAGCTTATCGTTTACTTCTTAAATGGAACTCAACAATTATTCACTGACAAACAAGCTCAAGAACAGTAGCAGTGCGGGACTCCCAACCCAGAGGGGGCGCTGCGACAGTTCTCAGGAGCTAGTTGCAAGGCACAACGGCTAAGGGACACCAGCTGCCAGCAAGTAAACTGGGAACCAGTGATGAGCAGGTGGTAAGGTTGGTAACTCTGGGGAACAGGATTTCTGCATGACCTTTATTTTTACTGTGTAACATGAACGCATCAGAGCAGAAGCCTAAATGTGGGGTAGAGAGGAAGGGCAGAAACACAAGTACAAGGAAAGGTCAAAGTGACACTTGCTCGGTTTACCTGGAACTGAAACCATTCTTCTCCACAGACAAGGTCCCGTTGGCTTCCTCTTGAAATTAAGGCTCATCTTCAATGCTGGTCAGGGAGCTCTGATGTGGCCCCTTGAAAGATATAATTCCATCTCTCATGACCAGACAGCATTAAACAATCTTGTGTAAACAGCATAGAGTATGGGTCCTCTCAGATTCTTCTAAGAGACTATACTAGCTGTGGGACTCCCTGAGAACAAAATTTCACCGTAATATTTAGTATCTATAGGCCTTAACAAATCAACGGCACAAAAAATCATCTCTCCCTATTAGAAACTTTCAGCCACTTCAATACATTCCACACAACCCTCCTCAACTAAGTATTGTTGGACCAAAGCAACCTACTCAGGCTAAGTCCTGAAGGAACCACTGTGACTTCCCACCTTGATCTGATGACCTCTCAGGTTATCTCCAGTGATCTTCCAAGTATTAAGAAATTCTGTGTTTAGGATATCAGTTTCATCCCATTTAACAACTACCAAAAGGTGTTCAGTACCTTCTGTGGAATTCACTCTGCACTGAACGGACAGAGAGGGATTTACAGCATAACACTGGGCAGTCAGTACCCACATGGTTGTCAGTATTCTGAACTCTGGAGAAGATGCTACCTGTAGCCCTAAGGAAATATGTAAGCCACACAGAATGGAATATTTAAACAAGAAGACAAGGTGTTTACACCAAATAAGTAAAGTTATATTTAGGGTTTAAACTAGTTTCTGTATACCCTTAGTAACACCCTAGGAGTAGGGGGGCTAGAGTGAATGAGAACTTGAGCTTCCCAAGATTAAGGTTCAAATCCTCTGAAATCCGTACAAGGTCAAATAAAATGAGAACTCAGCTCCAGAGTAAAAATTCTCGCTGGCACCAGCACGAGGCAGTAGTGATTCTCAAGTTTAATATATTACATATAATATAAAAATAAGCTGAAGTTTTAAGGAATGTCCATTATTATTAAAAGGTCTGAGCTTTTCTAGTCCAACCCTGGGCTTTCTGACAATCAAACACACTGAGCAAAAGCCCACGGAGGTACAACAGAGAGGTATACTAAATGACAAAAGAGCTGCTGCGATATGCCACAGGCACTTCAGTTTTTGAGAAAGCGCAGAACGTGTAGATTCCCAAGGTGGGGGAAAAACTGCTTCAGAGATTTGTAACAGGAAGAAGTGGTAAGTGACCCATCGAACAACATTCCCTGGTGAGCATTACATCCCTCCCACTACTTTTTCGGTTTGCGTCTTACTGAGAACCAGGCAAGGAAAGACACTGCTTTCTCCAGATGGCTTTTGGTTTTGGAACAAATGCAGGGAAGCTACGTCCCTGAATCAGTACTTCGTGGCTGAAAACCCTCCCTCCGGAGACTGCCCATGTCGAAGCGGGTGGAGACCTCACAGCGTACTAATAAAGTATCATCCTTGATGAAGGTTCTCTGTCTTAGGGCTTCCAGATGCATAAAAGTCACGTAGCCAAAGCCTTTTGGGTTCCGTGGGATCGTGGGTCTCTGGAAGGCGAGAAGCTCGGGTTTGGCGTCCATGATCTCTTCATGGTTTTGCCTTACCGGCGCTTCAGACTGATCAAGGATCGCAAGGCGTATTGTACCCTGGAAGGGCCAAGGGAGATGGCTGTCATACTCCCCTTGCATTGTGTGCACGAAGAGGGATATGTAGTTAGCGCAGCGCTGAGCAGTGGGTAGCTGGAGGTGCAGGCGCATGCACAGTTTGTACCCGGGTTTGCCCGTGTAGAAGCCAGGGCTGTGAATGACAACGGGTTTCTCCTCTTCCTGAGACTTCAGGTGCATCCCGAAGTTGCCGATCTTCCAGATGTAGATCCCGTTGCACTGCTGTGCTTCTATCTCAGCAACTTTGTCTTCAAGCGTTCGAATCGTTCGTTTGAGCTCACTTACGTGCATGCTCTGAGTTTCCATCTTAGCAGTTAGCTCTCGGATTTGATGGTCTTGTCTTACGAGGCGACCCTCTAACTGCTGAATGGTTTCTTGGAAATTATGGACCTCTGGGTGGCACGATGCAGAGACCCGGGACACGGAGGAGGAATCGTACGGCGGCATGTCGCGTGGAGGTACAGGAGCTAGAGCAAGGCTCAAACTCTGGACAGCCTGAGCCAGCATTCTCATGTGCGACTGCGTGTTCTCTTGCAGGTGGCGAGCCAAGTGATTCCTCTGCATCTAAAAACCAAGCACAAGCCTTAGGCTGGGACTAGATACTGTGAGGACTAGGAAAGGGACCTAGCCAAGCCACATTAAAGGTTCTGAAGTAATGTCATCACTTCCCTCAATTCCCTACAACCTTCTGCCTTCGTCAGATTCTTGATCCAATGAGATGATCTTGTGTCTTCATTCACTGAAAAAGTGAGGCTACATGCTGAATACTTTCACCTTTCACTCGAATAAATCTCCCTCCCACCTACTACAGTAGCAGGATCTATACCCATCCTTCCCCTCTAACTCAGCCACTTCTGCCTGTCCAACATTAATGCTTCACCTGGGCTCTCACTGGCACCCACCTTTTCAAGACCTAGGAGGTTTTGGTCAGTTATACCCTTTCTCCTTTATCTTCATTCCCTCCCCTTTACCCTTTCCCTCAGAATATAGTACAGCTTTCCTACTGAAAAAAAGGGTACATCTCTCTGTTGAGCTCATGTCTCTCTTTAGCTAATACCATTTTCTCCCTCTTCCTTTTACAGCTGAAAGGAGTCCATCTGTGCTGTCCCCAATTTGTTTCCCAAATGCTACAAAGTATAATCTTTCTTGTCTCCACACTCTTCTCATATCAAGAACATCATTATATGAAAAAATATTTGATATAACTTTTATTATAAAAGTAATTCACATATATTATCAAAAAACAGAAAATACAGATGACAAAAAAAAAATGAATTACCTATGATCTCACCTAACTACCACTAACATTTTTTTAAAGATTTTATTTATCTGAGAGAGAGAGAGACAAAGACAGTGAGAAAGAACATGAGTGGGGAGGAGAGGGAAAAGCAGACTCCCTGCTGAACAGGGAGCCTGACTCAGGGCTCAATCCCAGGACACCAGGATCATGACCTGAGCTGAGCTGAAGATAGACTCTTAACCAACTGAGCCACCCAGGCGCCTCCCCCATTAACATTTTGATAGATCTCCTCCAAGTCTTTTTCTCTCTACATACAATACAGAATCTTCCCACAAAATGTAATCATAGTGTATACCATTTCTTCACTTTATTCTTAAAATTACTAATATACCATTTCTTCACTTTATTCTTAAAATTACTAAATGCATGCTTATTATTTAAAAAAAAAAAAGGTTAAAAAGCATAATGGAAAAGTAAAAGTATAGCTGGACTCTCCAGAAAGAATGACTTATCATTAATAACCCATTGCTCTCTGGGGCACCTGGACAGCACAGTCAGCAAAGTGGCCGACTCTTGGTTTCAGTTCAGGTCATGTTCTCAGGGCTGTGAGATCAAGACCCTCAGCTGGGGCGGGCTCTGTGCAGAGCGGGGAGTCAGCTTAAGATGCTTTCTCTCTTTGCCCCTTCCCCTGGGCACACGCGCTCTTTCGCTCTCTAAATAAATCAATCTTTAAAAAAATAGCCATCAGTGGGGCACCTGGATGACTCAGTTGTTAAGCATCTGCCTTCGGTTCAGGTCATGATCCCCCCAGGTCCTGGGACTGAGCCCCACATTGGGCTCCCTGCTCGGCGGGAAGCCTGCTTCTCCCTCTCACTCACCCTGCTTGTGTTCCCTCTCTCGCTGTGTCTCTCTCTGTCAGGTAAATAAATAAAATCTTAAAAAAAAAAAATACAAAATAACCATCAATCTCAAATATTTGACACAACCGATCACTAGTATCGAAACTAATTCTGGAGAACATAACAATATCACCTTTTCCTTGCCTGAGTCACCAATTTCTAATACAGTCTGTTCATAACTCCTTTGATGGTCTGCTTCTCCTTCCTGTACTCACTCTATATGATCTTGATTGACCTTCCATTATCATCATGAACCACTTCCCCAAATCAATATTCTGAGTTCCAATTTCTCTTTGGAGTTCAAAACTTATACACTGCATGTCAACCATATCCCCTTCCACTGGTATTCTCAACTCCCCTACAGAACAGAATTCTTTGACATTCAAGAATAAAAAAGAAAGAAAAAAACCCTACCTTTACATGACAACCGAAAGTACTGAAAGTGCATGGAACTGGGGCTGTCGGACAGTCTAGATCATAGTGATTAGGCATCTGAAAACCAAAACAAAGGTTGAAAAATGGTTCTCCATGCATATCATGTTCTGGTTTAATGATCAAATTTGAAATAAAGATTTACATTTTATCTAAACAAAATCATGTATTGTCTATGGGTGCTTTTGCACAATGCAGAGTTGAGTAGTAGCAACAGGAATCATGTAGCCCACAAAGATCAAAATAATATTTACTTCCAAAAGTCACAGAGAACGGAAAGAGCAACATCTTATACCATCGCCCCAAACCTCTCAAATTTCCAGAAAATGCCTTTGTTTTTATTGCTAGGAGCTAACCCCCTCTAGCGGCACTTCAGAGAAAAAGCACCTTCTGACTGCAAATAGGGACCAGTTAACTGCATACCCTGAAACCACTGGCTTCGGCCATTATTTCCCTAGTGACTGGCTCTCATAAATCTTCTTACTTTCTTTTAACCAGGGCAGGTTTTGGTTACCGTGGGCAGATGCAGATGTTAGAAGGTATTTTAAGCACATTAAGAGAAGTTCTAAAGAAGTCTCAACCTTTGATTTGGGGATTCTAAAACACATTCTTCAAGGTGAGATCCATTATGCAGAATCATATATTTTGAAAGTGGTGCCAAATTCCCTTTAGAAATTTAGTTAGGCTATATTCATCATAGCTACTTCAAGCAGAAATGATTGTAGAAACTACTTAGTCCAATTCTTCATTTTGCATAATTTAGAACAGCGGTCTGCAGAATTTTTGGTAAAGGGACAGATAGTAGGTATTTTCAGCTTTGTGGGCTTATGGCTTCTGTCCCAAGTATTCAACTCTTACTGTTGTGGTACAGTACCCATGTACAACACACAGACATGTGGGCATGGCTATGTTCCATTAAATGTATTTACAAAAACAAGCAGTGGGCCAGATTGGCCAGTGGGCTGGTCTGCTGATTCCTGATGTAGAATGTCACCTTTCTTGTCACAGATCAGTGCGCAAATTAGTGGTACAGCCAAGATCAAAACCTAGGTTTTCTCTTAACCTAAGGTTTTTCTTCCTACATTATTTTATTTTTGTTGGGTTTAATATGTGATACACAGTTTCCTCCAAATGAAGAGCAAAAAAGAAAACCAACGAGGTGAGACTTCATAAGCAAAAAGAAGTTTAACACCTTCAAATTAAGGCTTTATTGGGAAAAGAACCCTAAAAGACTCTGTTAAAAGACAAATGGAAAAGTTTAGTCAAGTGACAGGATTTGCTTGCTGCTACTTAGGTAATCAATTATGATCTCGGGTTTGCAGATTTCATGGGTGTATAAATATTTAGTGACTAATATTCATATTTTGTGGGTAAACTCCCCAAATGTCAATAGATAACAATCAGATGGAATTTTCCTTTCTCCATTAATACAAATGTACAGTTTTCTATTCTAACTACTACTTTTGATGATGCCCATTAGCAGTCTATGGCAAGAATGAATACAGGCGCTACCGATCTTGGAAATCGCAAAATGTCCCACTACGTCTCGGGGCTACAGCTACAAATAATGCTCGGCTACTGAAAAGACTCGCTTTCATCGGTTTCATTGTTCTCTCACTGCCACCTAAGATCCCTGATCCACAGTGTGCAAATATGTATTTCTCTAAGTTTTTTCTTTCTTTAAACGGGTATTTTAAAAATTATTTTTATCTTAAAATGACCCAGGTTTGGTAGGACTTTTTATGAATATATACAAACATGGGTATTATGTTAATGACTTAGGAATTTTAAGTACTTAGAGAGGGCTGAATATTTTGTTCTTTTGAAAGTACTGTATTAATTTACATGAAAACTTTTCAGTTTTAATACTTCTTCAACCTGTATTCATTTTGCCTTATTGATTCAAATTTCCCATTAAAAACCTAACTCATTTCTTTAATCTATTAATGGAAATATTCACTTACAAAAGGGAATCACTATACCTGTTCTCTGATGAGCATGGTATTGCAGTATTCACAGATGACATTTGCCAAAGGACAATTCTGGTCATGGATCTAAATTTTATTAGAGAAATATAAAAAAAGCATGAGAAAATCTGAAAAAGTAATCTATTTTTATAAAAAGTAATTCACTATAAAAAAAATTAAGGACCTCAATTGGCGCCCAACACAAATGTAAGAATAATGTACAAAGGTTATTTTCTCTCCAAAGGGAGCCATGTGTAGTAATGACAGGTTCATCTCACCTTCCAGCTCTTTAAAAGAATATGAGTAGTACACACAAGAATCTTTTAAATCATTTCTTTTGAACTTCTTCTGTGACTAGTTTGGATAAAATTTACCAATAATATAATTGTCCAACAGCAGCATGACGACTTAACTAAAACTCTTACCAGGAAGGTTAAAAGAATAGAAGTATTATTAGGGCAAGAAGCTTTGGTGCCCAGGTTCTCATATGCCCCAGGTGAGCTCTGTCCATCCAGAATACAATGAACTTAGTTTAGTTGATATACTGAGAAGTAACGAAGCTTCCTGGTTAAGTCCACTTAACCTACTTAAGTTTAGGAAGACATCAACTTGCTCTAATTTTGCCTCAGATTTCTCTGCATGTTTAACAAGTTAGCGGACTTTTTAATATTTCATCCACTTAATGACTATGCTTGACCTTCTAAGAAAGTAGGAAAAAAATTACCAAGATAAATTTATAATAAATAAAGTTTAAAGCAGAATCTTCATAGCTATAAAAAACATAAATTATAGGTAGGTTATTTTAGTAAAGAGGACATAGGATGGGGATCCTGGACTAGACCTCAGTGCTAGCTTTGCCAATGACTATATTAACATAAAATTAATTAACCTCTTTACATCTCAGTTTCTGAATGGAAAACTGCTCTAACAGGATGAAGATGTCAAGCACCGTGACATTTCTTTTTAAAGATAAACATTTAATTGAAGTATAACATATGTACAGAAAAGTGGCTTCACTACATGGGTGTAGCTTAATAAATTATCACCAAAGGAACACATTTTGTGGTTTTTAATTTATTCTCCATAGAAGTTTTAACCACCCATTCTCTTTTTCAAAAAGAAAAGTGTAAGTCTGATAAAGTACTTGTTTGTCCCTAAACCAAAATTAGTGCATTTAAAATATCACATAGAAAAGGAGATCGGCATTGGTCTTTCCTAGAAGCTTGTGTTACTTGCAGATCTACTCCAGTGGTTCAGTAGTATAAACAATGTTTTCTAAGAAAGATATAGAAGTATAAACTCTACACTTACTAAAATGGTTTACTGGCCCCTCTTTCTAAAAAGCCAATCTTCCCACCACTGATAATATAGATTCAGATTTGGAGTAACATCCTCTTCTACATCCTCAAATGTGCATTAAAACTTTTTTGAAAGGAGTAGTGAAATTAACAAATCCAAGTTAGTACATGCCTCTTTATCTTCAAATGCCATCAACATAGCACAGTTCATGCAAGAAACCTGTCTCCTCGGGCACTCTTTAAGAATGTGAATATTAAGCTGGCATTTTTGGAAGGGACGTTGACACTGGGGACAATTCATGAGAGTAAACTCACAATGTGCTTGGTGATCCTGTAACAAGGAAAATGTAATTGATTAGTATTTGCAATCCTTATGAAATTTCCTAAAAAATAATCTAAGATTGTACTGTTCCCTTTTATAGAACTGGCTACTGAACCCGCTTTGTCTAGCACACACCATATGAAAGTCTTATCAAAATTATTTTTTATTTAAAGATTTATTTTAGAGATAATGAGTGAGTGAGCAGGAGGAGGAGCAGAGGGAGAGGGACAAGCATACTTTGCACTGAGCACAGAGCCAAACACAGGGCTCAATCCCATGACTCTGGGATCATGTCCTGAGCCACAATCAAGAGTCAGACACTTAATGGAGTTAGCTACCCACGTACCCCTGGCCTTACTGAATTTAAATAATGATTGTGAATTACAGGTTTATACATAGAATGTGAATTGTCAAGTTCATGTATGCAATTAGGGAAAGAAGTCAGATTTTCTGATTAATGATTTATTACCATGTCAAAAGGACCATTCCTTCAAAAGGAGCTACGTAAAGGTGGCCACGCTGCAAATACATTTTATTATTCTTCTTTTTTAAAAGATTTAATTGGCTTCTCACTGTTAAACCAGAGTTTTGTTTTGTTTTAAGATTTTATTTATTTGAGAGAGAGAGCGAGAGAGAGAGAAAAGCACAAGCAGGGGAAGCAGCAGAGGGAGAAGCAGAAGCAGGCTCCCCACTGAGCAGGGAGTCCAACATGGGGGTCAATCCTAGCACCCTGGGATCATGACCTGAGCCAAAGGGAGACACTTAATTGACTGAGCCACCCAGGTGCCCTACAAAAACATTTTAAACACTTAATTTCAAATACAACATAAACAATGTTTAATTCCTGTAAAACAACCAAGAATTGTTTTATTTAATTTAAAAGCTAATGCTTTTAGCTAACTGTGTCAACTAATCTCAAGCTGTAGGAGGACTCCATTTAGCTCATAATAAAATGTACAACTTAGAAAAACCGAGAAAAAAAGTATGGTTAGGATTCTCAGATGATGGGCAACCATATGGAGTTTGCTGTTTATTTTAAAACAAGAGAAACAAAATTAAGAGATTAACATGTGACACTTATATTTGAAATACTCCTCGGTTTTATTGCAGATAATGTCCACCTAAAAAATTTGTAGTAGAATACTGATTTCTTTCTTCTTATCACTGGGGCAAAGCCAGAGTATATGGAATAAGAAATATATGGTTTCCACTCATATTTATACTCAATTATGAAAGAATTGGTATTAATTCAACAAGAATTTATTAACCAATTATTATATGCTAGGCACAGATGGGATACAGCAAAGTGCGTATCCTCTAGGAACAGCTTTGAATATATGCTAACAGCTAGAAAATAATTTTAATACCTCAAGATGCCTCAGTTCCATCTTCTGCAAACAACCTTCATTTGGACACTTCACCATCAGAGAAAGAATCTCTCGTTTTGCAAAATTATCAGGAAATAGTTGATTTTCCAGCAATATTTCATTGTCAACTGGACATTTGTGACCAGCATCCCTAAAAGAAACAAGATACATACACTTATAGTAGATTTAAACAAATACTAACATTGGAAGACACAAAACGTTAAGTCACCGCATATAAGTTCTCCATTGATTATTTCCTATGGAAAGTAATTTAACACATCATACTGCATATCACCAAAATATACTGTTCTTTCATGGACAATTTAACAAGTGTTCTTTACTGAAATAAATACAACTAGTACCATTTGGTTACCTATCAAAAACTATGTGGCATTTTAGATTTGGGGACAGATTAAAAGCAAAAAAATGAGAAAAATTACTTGAATAAAATTGTATTTTGATTGGCATGAAGTGAAATGAAAGTTAAGCGTGGAAACTCTGGCAGTCTGGCAGGCCTCTGTTCTATGAGCAGCCATACAATGTGTCTGTAGTGTGCTGCTCGGTCATAATGAAAAATTAAACCAATGAGCAATACCCATACGAGGTCACATTTTTGGGTTTACTCTGAATAGTCATTACAATACTCTGGCTCACAGGCAACAGAAGGTTTCCTTTATGTTTATTTAAGGTACAGTGTAGTAGGGAGTTAGAGCACCTCTGTGTACTGATTCCCAGTGGTTTATTCCATCTTATGATAGAAAAAGCATCCTCAGGAAGCTTGGGTGTCTGGCACTCCCCTTTAACTTATTGGGATGTCTCAATCTTCAAAAAATATGGCAGGTCAAGTAGGCTACTCAATCATTCAAATATTTGTCGAGCACCTCTTACGTGTAAACCAACAGTACTAACTGCTGCAGTAGGTAAAAAGTTGCTGGAAAATGGGTCTGCTGTCAAAGGTCTCAGAACTAATAAAGGTGAGAGCCATGATCTTTATGAAGCCTCTCTCAGAATGCATGTTATTACTACACTGTCAAATACTTTCTGGGAAGCAAAGAAATAGATGCCCAGAACCTACGTGACAGAAAATAAAAGAACAACCTTACAGAGTACATTGGAAACCACTGTCCAAGGTATTAGCAATCACTCCAAAAGAAAATGGAATTGAACTGAGATAGATTTTGATTCCTTGAATGACTGTAAGGGATGAAAAATTCCAGCACGGTTCCTTTAAGAACTTCAGAGTTAAAGTTAAATGGTCATTTGTGACTTAGAGGGAGACAGGAAAAAAAAAATGGCTCAGACTTCCTTTTGTGGGTTTTACTTCCTTTTCAGACCAAGTCCCACTACTTGCATGAACTCTATTAAAAAACTGCTAAAGGGGCGTCTGGATGGCTCAGTGTGTTAAAGCTTCTGCCTTCAGCTCAGGTCATGGTCCCAGGGTCCTGGGATGGAGCCCTGCATCAGGCTCTCTGCTCAGTGGGGAGCCTGCTTCCCCCTGTCTCTCTGCCTGCCTCTTTGCCTACTTGTGATCTCTGTCTATCAAATAAATAAATAAAATCTTTAAAAAAAAACTGCTAAAGATTAGCTACCTTCCGGGACGTGGGACATTTGGTAAAATACTATACATTTGTACCCACAGGAAAACCAACAATACACTTTTATTGCCTACATAATGATGTAAACAAAAATCATGATAAACAAACAAAAACTGAGCCTTCAACACCATTCTCATGCCCATTCTAAACCAGTGGTCTCAACGCGGGCAATTCTGCCCCCCATGGGACATTTGGCAATGTCTGGAGACCGCTCTGGGTGAGCTGGAGAGAGGGGGGTACTACAGTTTCAATGAGCAGAGGCCAGGGATACTGCTAAATCATTCTACAATAATTTCCCACAACAAAAAATTATCTGGCCCAGGGGCGCCTGGGTGGCTCAGTGGGTTGAGCCTCTGCCTTCGGCTCAGGTCATGATCTCAGGGTCCTGGGATCGAGCCCCGCATCGGGCTCTCTGCTCAGTGGAGAGCCTGCTTCCTCCTCTCTCTCTCTCTCTGCCTGCCTCTCTGCCTACATGTGATCTCTGTCTATCAAATAAATAAATAAAATCTTTAAAAAAAAAAAATTATCTGGCCCAAAATGCCATGGAGGAGGGTGAGAAAACCTACTCTCAATAGATCTTACCAACTCAACAGTGGGTAACAGTTTTTTTCAAGAATTGACATAAGTCCCATGCTCCCTTATAACTTAAATCAAGCCAAGTCCCAAGTATGGATGTAGTTATCCTAAATTCATGTTTTATGCTAAAGTAAATTTAAAAACTGAAAGAGAAAAACTTATAAGACTAGTGAATAGCCAGCTTAACCTACTTAAGAATGATTTTACCAATATAATTAGGTATTGACTGAAAAACATAACCCCCCACCTTCTTCTATTATTTTTGTTCTGTATAGAATCCTTTAGTCATCTGAAAATATTCCCATCTACTTCTGAATTATAGTAAAATATATCTATTTCTTAGGAGATGAATTTGAATCACTTATGGAAATCCCATCTACCTTCATGTTGGTTAAAGCAACTATGATTTACTGAGCACCAACTGTGTGTCAGGCACTGTTCTTGGCAATTAGGACATATCAAGAAATAAGAGATCTCAACCCCTGCTCTCAAGGAGCTTATCTTCATAAAACAAGCAGACAACAGACAAATGACCCAGCATTTCAGAAGATGAAAAGTGCGAAGGAAGAAAGAAAAGTAAATTAAGGGAGACTGAGAGAGTGGGGGAGGTAGTCATGCTGTGGTATAGACAGGGTGGCCCAATTACCTATGAGAAGGTGAGACGTGAGCCACACTGGGGGAAGGAAAGAGTATTAGCTAAGCAATTAGCTGAAGTAACAGTGCTCCAAGCAGAGAGAGCAGTTAAAGCCAACTCCCCAGAGCAAAGCACGCTTGGTATGTTCAAGAAACAGCAGAATGAACTGGAAGGAAGGGGAGTGTAGTAGAGAGGCGGTCAGAAAACGGACTATCATACAGGACCTTGGCTTGTATTCTCAGACGACTTGCTGCAATGCTCTGAGAAGTGATGATATCATCTTATTTTACCAGGTTGTACCGAAAACAGTCTGGAAGAAGGCAAGGACAGAAGCAGGAGGCCTGTGAGTGAGTCAGGTGGCAGTAGCAAGAGGAGGCAATGAGACGGGATTTGATTTTGGATATATTATGAAGGTAGAGCCATCAATTAATACTTCCTTTAAAAATATCCGTTATTTTACAGTTGTCCATAGACACCAGGTAACAGAATTTAACACAGCTAAAATAAGAATAATCACTTAAGTAAACTTAAGTAAATCACTTAAGTAAACATTCTTTATATGGCTGGGATTACCAGAGTCTAACAGCATCATCGTTTAAAGTACATTTTTTTCTAAATTTTATTTTTAAGTACTCTCTGTACCCAACATGGGGCTCAAACCCAAACCCTGAGATCAAGAGTTGCATGTTCCTCCAACTAAACAAACCAGGTGCCCCTAAGACACATTTATTCTATATTATTTTCTTAAAGCATAGAGACTCACCCCTTAGTCTGCAACAGAACTGCTTTAAAAACAAATAGCTAATTTGCCTATTTATTTATCTGAGGGTCAGGAGGGGACAGAGTAGCAGTTACCTTTCATACCACAGCAGAAATGAGGAACAATCTAAATTTCTCAATTTTCTGTCCAGTGTGCTTTTCCCTAAGTAACTTTTTATGTATAAGACTACTCTTGGGAGGTCTTGTGTTCTATATAATAATGTTCTCTGTATTTGGTCCTGTTACTGGATACAGTTCTTATGCTCATGTACCTTTTTTTTTTCCAAGAGTTATTTATTTGAGAGAGAGAGAGAGAGAACACATGCACACAGTGGGGAGAGGCAGAGAGAGTCTTAAGCAGACTGAGCTGAGAGCAGACCTTCATGACTCTCAGATCACCATCTGAGTTGAAACCAAGAGTCGGATGCTCAACCGAATGTGCCACCAAGGCACCCCACTCACGTACCTTATTGACTTGATGATGCAAGCTTTGCAGAACCTGTGGCCACAGGGTGTTTGCACTGCTTCCCGTAATGCCATCAAGCAGATGGGGCACTCATACTTGCTTTCCAGGGGTGGGTCAAACTCCACATCATACCCCTGGACCTCTTCCATAAAAGAACTGGAGAGGTTCCCTGTGCTGGCGGTTCCACTCACACTGTCATCTTTCGCAGCAGCGCTACAGGAGCTGGTCATGGCAGCACAGCAGTCACTTTCAGAATGGCTGGATCCACAGCTGTTTTCACAGTTTAGCAGACTCATAGTAACGTCACTATCAATTGCTCTGTAGAAAGAGTGAGGAAAAAATGCCTTAACACACATATACATACACACATATACATGTCACAGCTTACCTACGCAAATCACTTTTTAGTTGAAGTACGTTAGCTATGCTAATATTATTTACAGAAAACTTTTAAAGTTCTTTGAACTTTGCTTTATGGCTATGATTTTTTGAGCTGTGGAGTTGATGATCTAGGAGAGAGAATGTAAGATTAAGAGAAGAAAAGCACCTGAACAGTAACACTTAGTTTTATCATAATTATCTGCTTTATGTCTGTTTCCTGTGACTGAAGTCAAGAATTTTTATATCTTCAGTACTTAGCACAGATCTTTCATTTAACAGTTGCTCATTAAGCATCTGCTGAAGACCTGAATTATGCTACTGAAGTTCCTTCAAGTATCATAAGGTGAAGAGCGCAGTGTGACCAGCAAGCAGTGCAAGGAAGAGCAATGCGCAAGGAATCAGGTGATCATGTGCAAATAGCAGTTGTGGGATTTGGGGCAACCTAACAATTTGGCTCTTGGTTTCTTCTTCTAGATTTAAAATTCTACAAGTACTTCAAAATGTTCAATGTGGGGACTTCTATTATGAGAAAGAATGGAATTGAAAATATATATGTGTATGTCCTTTTGCCTTCAGTCAGGTCAAGTGACTATGTCTCATTATTAATGACTGGAAAAACACGTGAGATTTCATTGGCCTACGGAAAACTATTGCTTTCATGGGTAGGTGGGACGCCTTCAAATTCTGAACCATTACACTATTTATGAATTAGAAGCCAATGTCTAAAAGCGATACACAGCCTATGTAACCAAGTCTCTGTTGCAGATAATTACACCTGATAATAAGGCATTATCTGGCACAGATAATAATGTGCCAGATATAGTTCTATAAACAGAATGTAAGCCTCTAGTCAATATGGTAGACGTTTATCCCCCTCCCTGTCTCAGTTTCATATGAAAATCCTGGTTGCCACTAGGCCAAACAGTGGGTTAGGATGGTAATCCTGTATCTTTTACTTCCATACCTTCTTTTTCCAGACACCTTCTTCCCAAAAAGATCTACAAAGGAAGAGGCACTGTTCTGGCTGGAGAGGCAGTGGATGAAGCTTAGATGCTGGAATTTGAGGACAGGGGTTTAGTTCTTTTCTCCACTATTTGGTGTAGGACCTGGATGAATCAGGTAACCTTCTATGCTTCAGTTCCCTCATGTATAAATAGAGATAATGATGAAGCCCACCGCAGAATTACTGAGGATTAAATGTGTTAGTATGCGCAAAGCACTTAGAACTGCATCTGGAAGAAAGAATTACTATGATGTGCAGTTCCATACAGCAATTTTATTTAACAATTTTACTGCCTCCATTTTACCAAAGTGGAAACTATGGAGCATAAAAGGGTTAAGTAACTTGCTGGAAATCATAGGCAAAACCTGAAGTGTTCCCCAAGGTTGGTACAAAGTAACCACTGACCAATTCCCTACCATTTAAAGAAGTTCTAATATTAAACTGAATCACTGTGAAGAATGAACAGTCACAGCCTTCTCACTTGTAAGGTGCTTTATAACAATATCCCGAGCCTCAGCCCACGTTTTGGGTCAACTGTTCCTGGTTTGCAAAGAGTTTTTTGGTGTGTACAATAAAGTTTTACAATGAGATTCGCTGGCTTGGACTTCTATTATTTTTGAACTTTGACAAAGCACAGCCTTAATTAAATATTGTGGGATATAACCACTGATGACTTATTTAGACTCCAAAATGAATAACTATTGTCATAAATCATGGCTTGTCATACATCATGGCTTAAATCCACATACTAGTATCTGGGTATATATTACAATCCAAAGAGTACAACATTAAGTATCTTAGGGAAGGGAGTAGTATGGTGATGCATAAAAATGTGCTCCTCTACGATCAACAGATACTAATGAAGTAAGCGTCTCAACTAAAGAAATCAACAAGGTATGTCTCGAATTGGTCAATTTTAAGCCAATGGAAAATTCATTCATGGCAAAACACAGAAATCCTATAAAGTAAAACGATATAAAACAAAATACTGAGAAAGTACCTTTATTCTTCTACTAGCTTTAGAGACAACTATTCACAAACTCTTTAAAATCTATTCCTGAAATGCAAAGACTTGCAAAATGCGCGGCACTGGCCAAAAAGTGCTGCAAAACAGTCAGCTGTGAGATCTGAATTTTGAATAAAAATTCAAGAGGCATTCTCCTTCCTAGGCACTATTTGTTTTCCTTCTAGAAGCAAGGATCTGAACAACTTCTTAAAATCCATGGAGCCAACAGTGTATCAGCATCACATACCCCAACTTATCACAGAAAAGGTCTGGCCTTTACAATTCTGAAATACTGAGAAGTATATAGAACATGCAGGTTGAAACTCTGCTCATCACATGGGCAACAAGTGCCTGAATGAAACACATTCCTTCCTTGAGTCACTAAAAGGCCACACTGTCCTTAAACCACCCCAACCTCAAAATCAGAAAAACCCCTTCTATCTTCCCCAGCAATCACAGAGGAGTGGATGTTAGGGCAGTGGGTTGGGTTCACAAGCCAACACTCAGACATTCTTTACAAGTTTTTCTCGTTTCTACCCCTGTGTAGCAAGACCTTAGTAACCTGTTCTCCCGAGAAACAGAGAAACACGCAAATACTATATATTCCAAGCTGCTAATACTTTAGGTGCTTTCTGTTCACATTCAAGACAGTCCTAACTCTCAACTGGAGTTCCCCTAAAGCCAAATACTAGCAACAGCTTTATCAGCCCTGCGTCTGGAACAATCTCTACAACTACCGAATGCAGGAGCGGAGAAGGAAACATTCATATCATCTGAACTTTTTTTTTTTTTTTTTTTTTTTAAACTTGCTGCCTGGGACCTCTATCGAGTTCAACAGGGAAGCCAAAAATAGCTTTCCCCCATGACAGTGACAGAGAGCGATGGGAACTTAAAGGGTTTGAGGTTTTTTTTTTCCTTTAAAAAAAAAAAAAAAAAAAAAAAGCTGGTAACAGCTCCAAGGGACGGGAAAATCCAGGAGGCAATTTCCTTTTCTGGAAAGGGGAATATGCGGGGCGAAGGGAGGCCAGGGCTAAGGAAGGGGGCGCGGGATTCCCGCCGGCGGATGGAGGGAGGGGAGGGGGTCCCCGCAGATAGGGGGAGCAGAGATGAGGGGAGAGGGGTCGGCGTCCCCAGCCTCTGGGAAACGAGGAGACAGAGGACGGCCTCCCCAACCTCTGGGAAGCGAAGGGACAGGGGGGCGGCGACCCCAACCTGTGAGGAACCTGAGAGGAGGGGACGGCGTCCCTAACCTCGGGGATAAGGCCGCGGCCACCGGGAGGAGACGTCCGAAGAAGACTCACCGCTTTCGTCCGCTGGGCCGCCGACTCCAGCCGGCAGCACGACTCGGCTCCGCCAAGGCTCCTTACTCCGAGCTGAGGCGACCTGGAAGCCGATCTCCCTACCCGAAGGCCGCTTCAGGGGCGACCCCGGGCCGCCCGCAGCACAAGCCCCAGCCGCGGACGCCCCTACTTCCGCCTTCTCTGCTCTCCCTGCGCAGCGAGGGGCGGGGATCGGGCGGGGGCGGAGACAGAGCGGCCTAGCGGGGTCCGGGTGCCCCCTGGCGGCAGTCCTCCACGGGCCCCGCAGGCTTCGGCGCAGGTGCGGGGCCGGTCTCGCTGTCAACCCTGTGCGCTCTGGCTGGGCTTCCTTTGCGGCTCTAGAATAGGTATCCCACCTTGGAATTCCTGACACCGCAGTCCTGAACTGGTATGTGTGGGTGTGGGTGGGTGTGTGGGCGGGTGGGTGGTGCGTTTCTATAGCTTCCCTATCCAAGCAGGAAAAAACCCCAACTGGGTTAGATCACTTGACATTCGGGAATTCTTAAATCCCTCCCCAACTTGCCAAGAAGTTTCCACAGTACTTAGAACCCTCTGTTATTATCACCTGGTCCTTCTCCTTTAACCAGTCGAAGGGAGCCAAACCCATATATTAAGCATTTCTTTGAAACTGCTGCCAAAGACACCATCCTCTTTTCTGTCACTGTCATGAGAAAGCTATTCTGCACTCCCTGCACTCCCTGTTTAACTGGAAGCAAACGTCAAAGGAATGTCACAGACACTTTGCAGGAGATACACAAAACATTCCCATCCACCTCTGCAAAGGTGGCTCATGTTCACCTCTAAGGCGGGGTATTGTAGGGTAATGGTAACACAGTTTTAAAATCACTTTTAAGGGACTTGTGAGAGGGGAAAAAAAGACTTGTAGGTAGAGAGTTGTAAGAGATGGAAACAGAAGGGCAGGCAAGGGCTAGATCATGCAAGGTCTCATAATCCATGCAAAGGAGATTTATAAGAGGGAAGAGGTGTGAAGTCATGCATGGGAATCACTCTAGCTGCTGTGTGAAGAATAAGGACAAGGATGGAAGCAAGGACAAAGGGGAAAGGACATTGTGGTGTTCCAGGAAAGGTGGGGACTTGAATTGGTGGGCTGCAGTGGATGTAATTAGAAGTGAGCAAATTCTGGATGCATTTTGGAGGGAGAGCCCCATATCATAGGACTTGCTGATTGTGTCTGAGCTGGTGATAATGAGGGACTGTTATATATATTTTCAAGATTTTGCTTACTTATTTGAGAGACAGAGAGAGAGAGAGAGAGAGCATGAGTAGAGGGAGGTGCAAAGGGAAAAGGAGAAGCAGGCTCCCTGCTGAGTAGGAACCCAGGGATCTTGACCTGAGCCAAAGGCAGACGCTTAACTGACTGAGCCACCCAGGTGCCCCAGGACTCTGATATTTTTGATGAGCAACTGAGTGGATGGAGAAGAATGAGAGAGGACCAGGCTGGGAGAGAAAAGAATCCGGAGTTTGTATATTTCCACCCGCTGAAGCTTGAAATACCTACTAGTATACAATTAGAGATCTTTAGTAAGCTGTGGAAGTAAGGCCTCTGACCCTTAAGGGAGAGATCAGACTTGCAATAGTAAATTTGTGAGCAGCAGCCATATAAACAGTGTTTAGAATCACCTGAATGTTATCACCTAGGGAGATAGGGAAGGGATGCAATCTGATACCCACAGTGTGGACCAAAGCACCTTCGAATCAGATTCCTTCTCGTGCCAGAAGCAGGAAGAACAAGAAAATAGATTTTCTTAATTTAATATTTAAGTTAATATTTGATAAAATTACAGATCAAGAAAGAATGAGTCAATCAGAAGAGGAATTATAAGTGATGGAACCTAGAAAAAGGTCAGAGATGCAATATGGCATTTCTCATGTACATTCTGTTTTGGGGAGAAGGTGCCCAGGATCAAACTCTCCCCCTAGCTCTCTATTTTCAAAGGCAGGAATTTGGGAAATGGTCTGATATCATTAATCTTTGAGTTGTAGAAGCAATTGGTAACAGGTGCCAAACAAAGCCAGAGGAGTACATAAAGGAATGTTATCCAACAGAACATCCTGGCCTTGGAATATACGCCAAGTATAGTGAGTTTCAGGACAGCCCTCCTCATTTCTCCCTCCCTGTCCCCACCCAATCCCCATTCCCCCAAAATCAGAGTAGGCGTGTGAGTAGGTAATGAGAGTGAAGGTGGGCAGGTGGGGGTGAGGGGGTAGGGAGCTCAGAGGGAAGGTGAGTGAGGTGTATGTATAGGTGGATATGTATGAGAAGGCTCCAGAGGGGAACTTCAGACAGTTATAACAGGCTTTGGGGCTATGCACTTGGCTCAGTCTTCTGTCCAGGTTGAAACCAGACTCTGAGCCACAGAAGGCAGAAATTTAGCTTTAAATCTGTTTTGCAGTTTATAGAAGTTCCTAAAATTCCGTATGGCTGGCGGATCTGGCTGACTCATTCAGAGGAGTGTGTGACCATTGATCTCGGGGTTTGGGGTTCAAGCCCCATATTGGGCATAGAGATTACTAAGAAAAAATAAATAAACTTTAAATAAATTGTCTAGGGCAAAGAGTTTTCTTTGGTAAAGCCTGTCTCCTAGCAAGAACTTAAAAATAACTTGTTCTGGGGTGCCTGGGTGGCTCAGTGGGTTAAACCTCTGCCTTCGGCTCAGGTCAAGATCTCAAGGTCCTGGGATCGAGCCCTGCGTCTAGCTCTCTGCTCATCAGGGAGCCTGCTCCTCCCCCCCCCAACCTGCCTCTTTGCCTACTTGTCATCTCTGTCTGTCAAATAAATAAATAAAATCTTAAAACAAAACCAAAAAACTTGTCCTTCTCCACCCTCTTCCCAAATCCTAGTCAAGAACCTAGACATTTTCTGAGTACACTCATCTTTCTTGCTCCTGGAGAAAGGAGGGGATTCTTTTTTTTTTCTTCATGTGGGAGAATGGGAGATGGTGGGTAGATGTCCAATGCATTGGGACTGGTTTATTTCTTGTTCACAGCTCATCAAGCAATGTTGAGATGATATGTTGACCCAATTTACTGCTTTCCTTGAGAGAAATGGAGCAGCTAGAGGAGGTGAGTATCTGATATATTTGTGAGTTGTATTTTTAATGTAAATAAATTGCTTTTGTCTGATGTGTATATTTGTTTCCCATGAGCTGTGTTAATGTAGAGGCACGCTGGGTGGGGAAAATCAGTTTTTGAACTGACAGAGCTAAGGGACAGGCTAATTAATCAAGGTAAATGATACCATATGACTTCTCTTGGTACATTCTCTCTGGATATATTTTAAAAAATTACTATCAAGAAAAATCATCCAAAATTGAAATAAAGGAAAAGGAAGGCTGGTATCCTTTCAGTGTCATTTAATAACACATTTTCCTAATAATTCCTTAATTATCGGTGTCTGAGAATTCTCCTATGTGTGATTTTACTGGTTATTATTTGATTAGAAATCACACATTGAAGTTACATGGTCACTTACAGATTTCTGTCTGGTTAAAAAATACAACCCCAGAGGCTAATGCACAATACGATATTAGCCAATTTTGTATCTAGGAACCCCATAAATTCAGTTCAGCATTCCTTTGACCACATAAAATCCGTTTCTCCAAGTCTTCTTTGAATCAGCTTTTTCATCTTAATGATACCCTCATTAATTGTTTGAATAAAATCTTAGACATGTTCATCCTATATTTATCTGGTAGCCTTGTGTGTATTTTTTGAAACTGATACTTTAACATTATAACATTCCTACACGATTCTGCTTCTTTCCAATGTTTACAAATGGAGTAAAAATTGGAGTACAAATTGTTCAGTCAAATTTATGCATGTTTGATGGTTAATCTTTTGAGTGGGATAATGTCGAACCTCTTAGGACATCCGGATGCTTCTAGAAAACTTTAATCATGGCACTGTAACACAAAACCACAAATGTATCTAGAAGCTTTTGGCTTATCCGTAATTTGGAACACATGGAGGCTTATCATTTAGGAAGTTTCTGAGTTCAAAAGCCTGATTTGTATGTGAACTACTGGATGCTAGGTGTAGAAATTCTCACACCAGCACAGGAGAGCAGAGGGTCTGAAACAGAGCAGTGAAAAGTATCTGTGCCTTGAGCTTGCTTGGTGGGAAGAAGAGAAAAACTATTTCTGTGTTCCTGATTAGAACTTATAATATAATTCTTCCAAAAGGCAATTAAGTAAGTAATGATTAGTTTCTTTGAATTGCCCACAATGTGGTTGAAATATGTCTTTTATGCAATGGAATTATTTTCAGCAATTGTATGTTTTTACTGTAAACGTATTTCAGATACGGTATGAGTCAAATAGTGTTTTGTGGGGCAGACTGAAGAACTAGTACCAATTTATAACATTGTTTTTTACAGAAAACATGTATTTGGTTCCAAACAACTAAATAAAAATGCTTTGGGGAGAATATACAGTTCTTTTATAGATTGGGAACAGCTATAATGAAGTTTATTACAATGATAAAATTAAGCAAATTAAAAGCTGTTATGCTAAAAGGAAATAAAGAGAAAACGTGTGTGTGTGTGTGTGTGTGTGTGTGTGTGTGTTTTGCTAATGCTATTACACCTTTTAGTGTTTTTTTTTTTTAATCACACAAAGTAGGACATATTCCAGGTTTCTGAAGCCTTTGCCCACATTTGTCTTTTTTATATGGTGCTATTGTTAATACTTCATGATTGTCACAAACAAAATAATTTTCAATTTCAAATTAAACTTTCAGCATTTCATCCACCAAAATCTCATACCTACACCCCAATTTCTGCCAATACAGAGCAGATTTCTTTCTGGACTTTCTAAGTAGAACATTGCATTAATGAATAATGAGACTAACCACTTCCTTATAACAAAGTAATTTTAGTGTTCTGAATAACAGCTAATCCTCTATTTCTTTCCGGAAGGAAATTCTGCGGGGTATCCAGCATTCTAATAATTATGGTAAATTAATAATGATCTTTGAAGATTTGACATATGCACACTAGAAGATATTCAAAATTTTTTGAGGGTTGTGGTGACGGTAAATTTTTCTTAAGGCATTTATTAAAGGTCATTTACATTTTCTGTTTTCTGCATTGGTGAGCTAGGGATATAAGCAGTCAATGCCAGAAATCAATGAACAAGAGATCATG